TGTCTGCTTCTCCCTCTGGGGTGCAGGGAGGTCAGTGTTGTATGGATGTGTCTGTCCTGGGTGTCATCTCCAGGGAGGAGGCCGGGGCATATCCAGCAGTGAACTCCTAGGGGGACCATGTCGTTTGAGATGGTCCCCACCCCAGTGAGTAGTGGGGCTTGCCTGGTGGCGCAGTCTTCGAAAGGTGCCACTTCCCTGAGACTGGCACTCCCTTGTCTTAATGCAATTGGGCTCCTGACTCAGATGAAGTGTAGGCCTGAGGGAACTGCAGGCATCCCCGGGAAGGGCTACTTCTCTGTTAGGGACTCTCTGGGTGCTCAGGGCTTAGCTGGCACCTCAGGCCCCACGGGCCCCTGCAAGCACCTGGGATCCTGGACCCCTGTACAGCCTGGGCTGAGGGGTCTCTCAGGGAGACTAATGAGCATCCTGGCACCCACCTGTGCGGGCAGAGGACACGTGTGGGCGCATAGGCCCGGTGCCAGGTGGGTTTGTGTTGGGCAGGTACAGCGCCAGCCAGTGGCAATATTTGAGGGACAGAAAGCAGGGGCAGGGGGTGTCACTTGGATGGGGCATCCTGAGGGCACTGCCTGTGAAGGGATCAACCCCTTTGCCAGGACTCGGTGCCTTGCAGGCCTGAGCCCTTCCCACAGAGCTCTGGATCCTTCCCTGCTGCCCCACAGTGCAGCTGTGCTGCGCTGTCCAGATTGTCTGTGGTGGTGTTGGGGGGAGGTGCGTCCTCCCCGGCCCTCCAGGTGCACAGGCTGCAAATAAACTGACACAGGAGCCCAGCGGGAGAAGAGGGAGGTCCCCACAAACACACAGGCTAGACAGGACCCACTTCTGGTCATGGCAGAGGAGCTGCGGAGTCTCTAGAATGGGGCAAACCTCCAGGAGGGAAACAGAACATGGGAGGTCGTGCAGGGGCCTGTTTACTCAGGCACCTGCCTGGGGATAAGGCTGAAGGCCCTGCCCCTCCAGACCACTGGGGAATCTTGCTTTTAGGAACATAATTGAGCAAAACATCCTCTTGGATCTTGTCTCTTATCAGCCTCCCCTTAGGCATGACCGTGCCTCCCTGCTGACCTGCTCTGAGCTCTCGCCCCAAGCTATTTTCTCTGAATATGATAACAGGACTTGGTCCACAGTCAGTTTCTCCTGCTTGGACACCTACAGGGTGCCACTGGCTGGTCGCAAGGGGATGAGTTCTACTTCCTGCTATGTGGTCCCCAGCTCAGAGGCCGGTGCCTGTGGGTGAAGCGACATAAATAACCCTGTTGTGGTTCTTTATGTCTTCAGATGCTTTTGTAAGAAGATGGAGGCTGACAGGCCAGACAAAGGTGTTTGCTCCCCCAACCCCTTCAGCAGACACTTGTTCTAATGGCGGTGCACACAGCTCTGGGTCAGGATCTTTCTCGATACACTCTCCCTGTAGCAGGTGGAGCACCAGCCACGGCGACCTAACATGATGCAGACAGAAGGGGAGAAGCCCTGTGCCGGGTTGGCCTGTACTTGCTTCCATGAGTTTAAGTTGTGCTGCTGAGGGCTGCATGGGGTCCTTGTGTGACGGGAGGGGGTGTGGCAGTGGGAGAGCTGCGGCAGTGACTGTGCTCCTGTCAGAGAGATGACAGTGCTCCCTGTGGGCAGTCAGGACAGGTGATGGAGGGTACGAGTCGAAAAGTTGGAAAGGAGGCACCACAAGACCAGAAACCTGGCTCATGCATGACCAGGAGCAGGAGGTGGGGGTAGAAGTGATTACCAGAGTCGTTAAACCAGCTGTAGAAATGAAAAATCCTTAGGTGCCAACTTCTACAATTATGGGACTGCTGCAGAGAGTATCATGAGGTGCAAAGCGAAGGGACAAGGAGATGGAGGGCTAGTGTAGAATCTCTGCTCCTTTTCAAATTCTGCAGAGTATTCAAGATAAATCAAAAATAAGAACTCCACAAAGGATGAGCCTCCCCAGGCTGCAGAAGCCTGTGTCAGGGCAATGTCTGCACTGGCCGGGGGCAGCAGCCCTTCTGCCCGCCTGTGACCTGTGACCTAGCTGCGGCTTCTCTTCACTGACCCCCCTGTGCAAAGCCGCAGAGGCAGCTCCTCCCCAGGCTGCCGCCCGCCACCTTGCAGGTGGAGGGCACATGAAATCTATCAGGCTTTCACGTCATTGGCCCCTGTGGCTATCACCTGCAGCCTTGATGGTGTTAACATAGAAGGCGTGGGGCACGCGTGCCTGACTATGGACACCTGAGCGTGGGTGTGTGCATGTGCAAGTGTGCACGCCTGTGCCTGCGAGGAAAGGGATAAAAGGGCGGCATCACCCTGGGGAAAGGAGTTGCTGTCTCCCTGCTGGCTGGTTTCTCCTGCTTCCCATTAAAACCTGTGACAATGATGCCAAGGGCTCCAAAATTCTCCTTCATATTGCTAGATGGCAGACCTAGCTGGCCTGGAATGTTGCAAAATAAAAACCTCTCTTTCGGGGCCGCTCTTTCTGACCGCTTGTGTCTGTGCAAGCATTCTTTACCCTTTCCTCCCTTTTATAATAAACCTGCCCTTTTCGATATAACTAATGCCTCTCGTGGAGAAACACCGCGTGCCGCTGACCGGGGAGCTCTGGTGAAACTTTTCTAAGTTAACCCAAGGATCCCACTCTCTGAGCCCAACACCTCCAAAACCAACTTCACAGGGACTGGTTTGGAGGAGGGTTGTCGGGCCCAAAGCAAGTGCCTGAAGTGAAAAACTAGCTCACAAATATGCAGGCTTAGTTCTCATCCCTTGCACCCTCACTGTGAAGGGAAGTCCCCAGGCTTACAGGCCTCTTCACCAGGACGGCAATTTCACAACAGGCCCAGAGCCAGTCCCTTCAGCCTGCTCCTATTCTGGAAAATTCCCTGAATCAAGGGAAAGAAAAAGGTTTGTTTCCCTGTTTGGAATGGGGGAAGGAGAAGAATTACAAATGTCACTACTGCAGTAAATGTCCTGATGATAATAGGGGTCTCCCTATTATGCTCAAGCTGGCTGACACTCAATTGGGACACCCCTGGTATTAAATATCCCTGTATTTATTTATTTTCTGTAATGAACCTGGTCTGCATTATCTCATAATAGCAAAAAAATTTTTTTTCCACTTAAAAGAAAACCCCTATACTTACTGTCAAGTAGACTAAAATTTACTAAAATGTTTTTTTAAGATTTATTTATTCATACAAACACTGGGTACAGTCAGAAGCGCGGGAGGGTGAGAGAATTCACCAGAGCCAGAGCAGGGAGCAGAGCAGGCAGATTGACGAAGTACACTGCTGAGGGGAGCAGCGGGCGGCAGGAGAGGTCTGCGCGCCATGTGGGACCCTCCCCCGGTGGCCGGGGAGCAGCCGGGGATTGAACCAGCGCTGCAGAGGCCGCGGGCAGCTTCGCAACCCAGCGCTCAACCGCTGCGCCACCGGGGAGGCCCTACTAAAATTTTTATACATATTTGTCTCCGTTGTGGAAGGTGAGAGGCAGCATTGTTCCTCACCTCTTGGGACTTCACGTTCAAGGAGTTATATTTCTTCATTTCACCTTCAAGTCTCAACTTCTTTTTTGAGCTCCACTTAAACCTCAGTGTCATTCATCTGAGGTCCCACAGACAGATTTAAATTCACCAACTCCCCTCACAGGCTCTGCCCCTCCTGTGCTCTGGCGCCTTCCTCTCTGCTGTGACTTCACTGTCCCTCAGCTGACAGCTCCCCCCCACCCAACGGGGGCTGCTCATCTCCATGTCCCTGAGGACCGTCCTTCCCTGGGGGCTGCACTGGGGGCTCCATGGATGACACAGGCTGGAAGCGACAGCAGGATGGGGAGAGGCAGAGGGAGCAGAGGGACAGATCCATGGTTCCTGCCTATCCAGGTGCACCAGTCTCCCCAAATCCTCAATGTCCCACCTCAGGAGCTGCTCCCGGGGTCACTGTCCTGAGTTCAGGGAGCCACCTGCTCCCTCTGACCTGCTTCTCCCAGGTGAGCACAGGCCCAGGCCTTGGGAGAAGATTCAGTTCTCCCACGGGGTCTCTCCCCAGGGAGCCCAGACACTGACTGCAGCAGCCCCTCCCACTTGGGAGGACCTGTCACGTGATGTTCTTACTTGTGAGTGTCTCTCTCACTGCTCTGGAATACAGGGCAGGGGTGCTCTGTGCTTGTGGTTGTCTGGGAACTAGAAGGGACATGACCTGGGGAGAGAGGGTCCTTCCCAGGAGGCTGAGGTCCTGTGGCCCCACCTAGGGCAGGAGCCTCCTGGGCACATCCCTCCTCCTGGCCTTCCTGTGCTCGCCTCTGTGTTCCTGACATCAGCCCTGAGCTTTCTGTGTCCTCACTGGTTCGTATATGGTGTGGGCCAAATCCTCATTGATTAGCAACTCAACAGAGATGTAATAGCTGGCTTCATACACTGTGAATTAGCAGAGGGAAAGAATTTGGTTGCTCCCAAGGCCATTCCACCTGGTCCTCAAGTGCTCAGAAACTGCCCTTTCTATGCTGGTACTGATTCCACCCCAGCAGGAACCAGAGCCTCTTCCCTTGTGTTGTGGATTTTCCTTGCTTGCCTCAGGGAGTTTCCTGAGTAGATAGAGAAGCAGCCTGAAGTCCTGGGCTCTGTGGCCTATGTCGAAATTCCGCTCCTGGGTGCTCAGCTCTGGGTGCCCAGAACACCTCAATGAGATTCCCCTTTTATAAAGTCTTTGCTGAGCAACAGCTGCCTCCATGATGGAGTCAGGATCCCCGCAAGGGTGACCAGCTGGGTTCTTTGATCCAGGAGTTACCAGCTGACAGGTGTCTGTGAGCCTGGGGTGTCCCAGCCTGAAGCACCAGGCCTGGACATGTTTGGAGGCTCGTGATCATCCTAGATCCTTAGATGACAACTGGGAGGAAGGCCTCAGGTCAGCGAGGCCCAGAGGCCCAGTGGGGGAGTAAGGAATCCCAGGATATTAAAAGGAGCCCCAGAGCAGGCAGCCCCACTGCTCTCCCCCTGCACCGCTATGGCCTTCCTCTGGCTTCTCTCCTGCATCACCCTCGTCGGGGCCGCCTTTGGTGAGTGTGGTAGGGTCTGAGGGACCAGCCATGCCTGGGACAGACTGGGGAGGAGGACTCAGCCCCCAATGGACTCAGCCTGGCCCCATCACAAGGGACTCGCTCAGTTTGGGGAGGACCAGGCACCAGGTGAGGGGAGCTCTGAGTTCCCTCCCTGCACACTGGGCTTCAGGACCAGACAGGCAACCTGATCTGCAGGAGGAGAGAGAGGGGTGCTTCTAGGGCTTTCTGAGCCCTGAACGCTCTGCCAGGACTCAGTAAGAAGCATCTGGGCTCCTCAGAGAACAGAGGCCCTAGAGGAGGCTCATGTGGGGTTGTGGGCACAAGGGCTGTGAGGGGTTTATTAGTGCCAGGCACTTACTCAGTGCTTTAGTGTCTGTTATAATAATAATAATAGTAATAATAATAATAGTACAACCATGTATCTTTCTCAGGATTAGCAAATATCACCTCTCCCTATTTCCTGTAGGGATTCTCTGACACCCACACTGGGCTCAGCAGCTCCCTGCTCCCCCTCTCCTGGGAAGGGGCCTCTGCTGAGCCCCTGCCTGTCACTTCTGTGCAGCTTCACACACTCACTCCCTGTTTATAACCAGAACCAGGGCTCAGTGGGGGAAGCTCCTCCCTGTATTTCCTGCCCGTCCCTGTCACACCTGCTAGCCCCACTCCTGTGGCTCCACCAGCACAGGGGACCCAGCCCCCCACTCCATTACAATGAAGCCTCTGCAGGGTGAGGCCCTCACAGCTTCTGCTAGAGGTTTTATTCTAATTACAAGGAGGACAACTTATTTGGATCACTACCATGTGGAGGTGACCGGGCCATGTCCCTGTCCCCAGGGGCAGGGGCAGGTGCTGCCTGGAGCAAGGCCTGGGGGACCCCGGGGATAGCCTGGCTGGTGGGAGGGGCTGGGCCTGCCCCCCTTTCTTCCTGTGGCCAAGTTCTCACACCCCTGGGAGCTGCTGAGGATCCCGTGTCCTGACCCAGCGAATGTGTCTGCACATGTCAAGGGCCCTGCGTGTCCTCCTTGCTCTGGACAATCTTGTCCTCTGTTTTCTATTTCTTCCTTGTGACTTTTATGGTGGGGAGTCACCGTCCTGTTACGGTGTGGTAACTGTAAACTTCATGCAATGAAGAGTTGCTGAAATGTCCAGAATAGACAATACCCTGTGGATTTGGGAGACTCTGAATTTAATTCCACACATCCTGCCCAACCAATCTCTCTGGCGTGCATTGCCTGTAAGGTTGAGAGTGTTTGCTCCCTGTTTCTTGGAGAAATGAGCCTGGGAGAATCAGAGAGCATTGAAGTCTCCAGCAGGGAAGTGGGGGACAGGGAAACCTGACATTCAGCCTGTTTCTGCTCCTCTGGGTAGGGTGACCCTGATGGAGCTGCCTGTCCCTCTGCATCCCTGCAGGGTGACTGGGAACAGCGGGCTATGTTTGTGGATCTTCCAACCTGAGATTGGGGTGCCTGGGAGTTTCTGGGAATAGGGGAGTATGGAAGTGGGTGCTGTGATGTCTGAACTACAAACCAGATTTCTGCAGAATGACTGAGACCTCAGCCCTCTCTCCATACCTCCTCCAGGCTGTGGGGTCCCGGCCATTCGTCCAGCTGTGTATGGCATACAGAGGATCGTAAATGGAAAGGATGCTCGTCCTGGCTCCTGGCCCTGGCAGGTGTCTTTGCAGGTGAGGAGAGCCTTCACCTGAGCAGGATCACACTGGGGTGCAGGCCAAGTTGGAATGGGGTGGTGCAGCTGAAAGGTTGGTATGGTATTCCCTCGAGCGCTGACCACTCCTCTTCCTCCAGGACCGCAAGGGCCTCCACTTCTGTGGGGGCTCCCTGATCAATGAGAAATGGGTGGTCACTGCTGCTCACTGTGGGGTCAGGTGAGTCCCAGGAAGGGTCCAAGAGTGGGGGAGGGGAGCAGGCACATCATCCTTCCTCACCCCACCTGCTGCTTCTAGCACATCCCACCTGGTTGTTGCTGGAGTGTTTGACAAGGGATCAAAGAAGGAGAATGTCCAGGTCCTGAGGATTGCTCAGGTACGCCAAGCTGAGGGGTTGGGGCTATAGCTGCTGGGGGCAGGAGCAGTGGGGAGAAGGCCCTTCGGCTGCAGAGACAGGAGGCAGCAGATGGGCCTCAGAGTCTCCCTTGGGCTCCCCCGGTTTGTGCTCTGATTGTCACTGGGAAAACAGCCGTCTCCTAAAACCTGCAGATTCTTTATGGATCCCAGGCCTCACCCCCTCCTCCTGGCCTCACTCACAGGTTTTCAGGCACCCCAACTACAACACTATCACCCTCAACAACGACATCACCCTCCTGAAGCTGGCCACACCGGCCCGCTTCTCTAAGATCGTGTCTCCCGTGTGCCTGCCCAGCGCTGAGGACACTTTCCCTGCCGGGGCCCTGTGTGTCACCACGGGCTGGGGCAGGACCAGTTCCCATGGTGAGTGGCCTTGGCCTTGTCACCCAGGATGTGGGTCTTGTCTACCTAAACAGCAGTTGGGACCCATGTGGCTCTGCTCTTTGGTTCTGTGGAAATTCAAACAGTATCATTAATGTGTCCACTATTTTATTTATAACCGGCTTAATGGAAACCGACCCATCAAGGACATGAGGTCCATGATGTCCTTGAATGGTCAGGTTCTCTAGACACAGCTCAGTCCCAGCAGGCCCCGCCCCACTCACCACCTGCACCTGTCCACAGTGACCCCAGCAGCATTGGAATGCCCCCCAAGCCTCAGGGATTGGAGTTGGGGCCTCTTTCCAGACCCGGCTGGGATTCAAGTATCCAGGATGTGGTCAGGACTCTGAGAGTCCAGCCTATTGTCCCCTCCCCAGGGACGGCTCTGCCTGATTGTCTCCTCCGGCATCCAGCCTAGGCCAGGGCTACCAGGCTGGTCCTTCCACAGGACAGAAGACACCAGAAAGGGGCAGCGGGGAGGGAGCTCTCTGTCACCCCAGATGGGGTCTCCAGGAGTCAGAAGGATTTAAGGGGGAAGATGCTGCCACTTGCCCTTCAAACCCAGCTGGGCAGGCAGGGGGTGTTCAACCACTGTGCTTGGAGCAAATTCCACCTGGGGTGGAAGCATAAGGACTGGGTACCACTGAGGTATAAATGGGTACAGGCCTTGGGTTCTAGCAGCCTCCTGATATTGATGGAAGAGGAGGACGAGGGACAGCAGCAATCATGGGTCTTGTCCACTCCTCTAAGGATCATTTGGGAGGCTGAGGGGCTTACTCCTCCTGGGATTTTTGTTGTTCCAGGTGCGGGCTCCAACAAACTGCAGCAGGGCACCACGCCTCTCCTGTCCGATGCCCAGTGCGTCAAACTCTGGGGCAGCAAGATCACCGATGCCATGGTCTGTGCAGGCGGCAAAGGTGTCAGCTCCTGCATGGTATGGCCCCTTAACCCTGGGTCACCCCTCCGCAATCATGGTAGAGGCCTTTCCTTGCCCCATATTCCTTTACCCTCAACCCTTGCCCTCTGTCCGCAGAGCCAGGACCCAGTAGATGCCTGGCTCTGGCCCGGCTTGGGGGTGCCATTCAGGAGATTTGCTCTCACGTGCACTCCTGGGCTATATTTCCCAGTGTGTTTACAGACCACAGCCATGGGCCCCTGGGAGCAGGTGCAAAACTGGGTGGCATTTGATAAGATGGATGTTACTAGGTATCGCTGTGCATACATTTTGTTTCTTAGCAATAACTGTTGAGCCAGGCAGGGGTGCACAAGGATCCCGGCACCCCTTTCAGACTGCAGACAGGTGCTTCTCCTCCCACAGGGCGACTCTGGCGGGCCCCTGGTCTGCCAGAAGAATGGAGCCTGGAACCTGGTGGGCGTCGTGTCCTTTGGCAGCAGCACCTGCTCCACCAACATGCCTAGCAGTTACAGCCGCGTCACCAAGCACATGCCCTGGATTCAGGAGATCCTGGCTAAAAACTAAGTCCTGTTTCCTCCCATCCCAACCTCTAGTGTCCCCAATAAAGCCTCTGTACAGAAGCCCTGACTGCTTGTGTGTCTGTGACCTGGGGGCGGTGGCTGCAGTGTCCCTGGCACCCACCAGGGGGCGGCATGACCCTCCCTTTCCAGGCTGCAGAGCCCCAGCAGCCCCTGTTTCTCAGGGAGCTGAGGCCTTTGGGTCTGGTCCTCCCTGCTCAGGAGGCCCCGGGAGTAGAGTCCAGGACCACCTGCTGCAGCCTCATTTCTCAGCCTGGTCTGCTCCTTTGGCTGCTGGGTTGGCCCATGGAGCTTTGTGGAAGGCAGGAGTGCTCAGCCAGGTCATGCAGTCCTCTCCCAGCAGGGTCGGCCCTGGGACCAAGAGGGCCACCCAAGCAGGCTTGTCCCTCCCCACATGCTCCAGACACCTTTCTCTGCCTTGAGCCCCCTGCACACCCCACCCCAGACCATCCATGCAGTCTCCACCCTTCCTGCCTCCCACCCAGGTCTGCACACACTCACTCTGCACTGAGTAGCTGGGAATATCTCTTTCTAGCCCCACATACCAAGTGCCCATCACTCTGCTCTGGGCTGTTTTCTCTGGGATTTGGTTGTTGAATCTGGAGGCTCCATTGACTCTGGCTCAGTCCCTTTAGGCTGCAGGTAGCACTGGGCCCCTGCACGGGAGGTGTCAGGACTCACAACTCTCCCTTGGCAAAGGTAACAACATTGATGCCTGAGGCCTGGGCATCTGTTCTCTGTTTGTACAATGGTGGGAACTTAACTTTAATGTTTTTCGATTTATTACCTGGAATTCATGGAGATGACTCCACAGTCAATGACCCAGTGGTCCCTGGGTTAGAACGTGCAGGGGAGAGGCTCAGCCTGTTTCCTTTACACATTTCCTTTATTAATTGAAGAAAATGAACTTGTTCCCTGTCCTCCTTCAAGGTACCGAATTAATTTTGTGTTTTATTTTCTTTTAGAAATATTTTAAACTCCTAGATCAAAACAACGGTTTCTACCTCTTTTAATCATTATTCTTCATGAAACTGAAATTTCTCCCCTTTCACAGGTAGGAACTGTCTGGTTGGCTCTGGACTTTTTTTTAAAGAATTATTTATTTATGCATATAAGAACTGGGGTACAGGCCAGAGATGCAGGGGGGTAAGAGGATTCACCAGAGACAGAGCAGGGAGCAGAACAGGCAGATCGACTGAAATACACTGCTGAGGGGAGCAGCTGGCGAGACAGGAGAGGTCTGCTGCACCATGTGGGTTGCTCCCTGTCCAGGGATCAAACCCATGAGGCAGTGGCTGGTGACAGCTTGACAGCACTGTGTCCTTAACCCCTGTACCTCCAAGGAGGCCCAACCCTAGAATCAGTCATTTTTCAAAAATCCCCAGTTTTCTTTGAGTAGAAAAGGAATTTCAAGCCCAACTCTGGGTGTACAGGACACTCATAAATGGTATTTTGGTTTATTACAGACCTTTTCTGTGGACGCAGCATTGAATTACTGAAAGATAAATTTTAAGATCACAAGTCTCAAGAGTTCATAGTGATATTTCTACTTCTAAGTCAAGGCTGTGCGTGTTACTTATAAATAGGGACCTCTGCCAGGTTGTCCATACCACACCAAGCATCCTCATACTTTAGGCTCATCCCTCCCCATGCTCGAGGCACCCTTCTCTGCCTTGAGTCCCCTGCACCCCCCTACCCAGAACATCCATGCTGTCTCCACCCTTCCCTGCCTCTCACCTCCCTTGCTCAGAGGGCAAACAGCAGGGCTGCTTTTCCATTGGCTACTGCAGGTAGTGCTGGCCTGGAGAGCTGGGAGTCCCTGGAGAAGAGGGAGTCCTGGGTCAGAGGGAGTTGGGAGCAGACCAAGGATTGGCAGGATCAAGTTCCAGGGACAGGCCTGGCTTTATGGTGGCTTTGGAGGGGAGGGGGCTGGCGGGTACAGACCACACAGTCAGGTGACCGCGGGGAGTGGTTAAGAGCCCATGAGCTGGAGTGAGAACACAGTGGCCTCTCGGGAGGATGGGCCCTGAGGGGGCCAAAGAGAGATGTGTCTTTTCACCTGTGGCCACCAGGAGACAGTGTTAACCCAAAAAGCTTCTCTCAGGTCAGGGGCAGCCCAGGGGAGCCTCTGAGCCCTCTGGAACCTGCTGGCAGGCAGGACAAGGAGCACAGCCTTGGAACATGCTGGAAGAGGGGGCTGCAGTGTGGCTAGGCCCTAGGTTCAGGACAGCAGGTTACATCCTTCCTCCATCCCAAAACCTCCTGCTCCCAGCCCCTCAAGGCTGGTTTGTCTTTTGAGGAAATGTCTGCTCCCTTCATCCCTAGGTCCATTGATCCTCATGGTATTTCTTTGCTCTGTTTCTCACTTATTAATCCGGAACCGTAGGCCAGCGATCCTTCCCTTGCCCGTGAAAGCATTTCTGTTTATCGATGTCCTTGCTGAGTTAGCAGCTTCCTGCGCGTGTTGACGGGAGGTGTTGTCATGAGGGAAAACAGAACAAGGGAGGTTGATATGGCTAATAACACTTGGTCCACAGTCAGTTTCTCCTGCTTGGACACCCAGGAGCATTTACTGAAATAAAGACTAAGAGGAGCGGTGGGTGAGACAGGAGGGCCTGCAGCACAGAGTGAGGGCCCTGGGCCTATGACACCCCAGGCATCTGGCCGGTGGGGAGACTAGTCTTGGGCATGTCCTGATGATGCTCTGAATGAGCAGAGAGGATCCTCAGCTTCATGTCCCGGTTCCACGGGGTCCCGTCCACTCCCTTTATCCATTCAAGCCTCCCCAACTTGCCTGCTGGGCAAGGAACGGGGGCCTGGATTTTAAATTTAGTAATAATGTGGATCATTTCTTGGAGATGTTGGGCTTGGAGAGTCGGGTCCCTGAGTTAACTCTGAGAAAAGTCTCACCAGCTCTCCCTTTTCAGCAGCACCCAGCGAGATTCCCAGGCCAGTCTCTCCACAATACAGAGACATTCGCTGTATATAAAGGCAGGCTAATTACAAAAGGAAGAGAGGAATAAAGGACACTTGTGTAGACAAAAGGCGGGCAGAGAAAGCTGCCCCTGAAAGGTACAGGTTATTTTAAAAGTCATTTAAAAGAACAGGCTAAGAGGCCTGTGTGGTCACGGGCAGCAGCCAGGGGAGGAGGGGTGACTCTGTCCTTTGCACAGGGAGAAGGTCAGTGAAGAGAAGCCACATCTAGGTCACAGGTCACAGGCAGGCAGAAGGGCTGCTGCCCCGGACCAGTGCAGACATTGCCCTGATAGAGCCTTCTGCAGTCTGGGAGGGCTCATTCCTTTGTGGAGTTGCTGACCTCTGTTTCTTTTGAGTAACTGATGAATTTGAAAAGGATGACCCGAGGCACCATGATCCTGTCTGGGCTGCAGACACATGGACGGGGACAGAGGGCAGCTTGGTGTGTCTATGGAATCAGCCTAGAGGGTCCCCGGGCATATTCCAGATGCTTCTCTGTCTGTCCTCTCTGGGGCCTCCAGCTCCAGTCGGCGTGTCCACGTCAGCCTCTCCCTGGTGCCCACGCCATGTAGGTCAGACGCTCCCTGTCCACGACCACTGTCCCTCCTCACTAGCCAGTGCTGCCCTCTGGCCCTGAGCAGGAGCTGGAGTGCTGTTCCTGACCAGGCCTGAGAGGGGCTCCCCCTGTCCATGGGGCCCTCTCATGAGGAAGGCACCATGGGGGCCTGTTCACTCATGGTCCTCTGGGCTGCCAGGGCAGGGCGTGATGTTCCCAGTCCTGGAAAGAGGCTCACAGCATAAGATCCAGTGGGCAGCAGCACAATGACACACATAATACACACTAATTGAAAAAGTGTGCAATTTCTGGGGTATCTACAGTTTACAACACTGTGATTTAGGGGAGTAGGTGACAGCTCTCCTCAGGTGGTGTCACCACACTAAAATGTCCACAGTTAACATCTGCAGAGTTGACATTTCGGGTCAGGTAGGTGTCATGGAGAGATCTAGTCTTTCTCTTACTCAATGTTTCCTGCATTTTAGAAATGTTCGGTAAGGAACCTGTATTACCTCATAATAATAGCAAAAAAAAAAAATTCATTTAAAATAAAAGCCCATGTAGTCTTAACCCGCGGTGCAGAGACCCTGCAGTCTTCTCGGCGTGGTACTCAACCCACTGTGCCACCAGGGAGGCCCTTATTTTATTTTTTTAAGATTTATTTATTTATGCATACAAAAACTGGGGTACAGGCTAGATCTGCCGGGGGTGGGGTATTGTGAGGATCACCAGAGACAGAGTAGGGAGCAGAACAGGCAGATTGACTGAAAAACACTGCTGAGGGGAGCAGCGGGCGAGACAGGAGAGGGCTGCTGCGCCCTATGGGTCACCTGCCTGGCGGAGGATCGAACTCATGCTGCAGTAGCTGCAGATTGTTTCTTAGTGCTGTGCTTAACACCTTGAGCCACCAGGGAGGCCCCTCATCTCTATTTTCAATGATAGGAGGCAGCTTTGGTGCTCAGCTTTTGGGACTCCCCTTTAAGAGAGTAATATTTCTTGGTTTCACCTTCAAGTCTCATCTTTTTTGAGCTCTACTTAAACCTGACTCTTTCAACTGCGGAATGACTGACTGAGGTTCTGTTCATGATTTTCCCTCACAGAATCTTCCCCTTCTCCACTCTGGTGCCTTCCTCTCTGCTGTGACTCACCCTCCCTCAGCTGGCAGCTCCCCTGGTTTGAATCCCCCGCTAGGGGCTGCTCATCTCTGTGTCCCTGAGGCCCGATCTCCCCTGGGGTCTGCACTGGGGTCTCTGTGGATGACACAGGCTGGAAGCAACAGCAGGACAGGGAGATGCAGAGGGAGCAGAGGGGACAGGCCTGTGCTTCCTGCCTGCCCAGGTGTGCCAGTCTCCCCAAAAACTCACATGTCCCACCCCAGGAGCTCCTCCCAGGGTGACTGTTCAGAGCCCAGGAGCCACCTGCTCCCTCTGACCTGCTTCTCCCCGGTGAGCACAGGCCGAGGCCTTGGGAGAAGATACAGTTCTCCCAGGGGGTATCTCACCAGGGAGCCCCAACACTGACTGCAGCAGCCCCAACTGTTTGGGGGACCTGTCACGTGATGTTCTTACTTGTTAGTGTCTCTCTCACTGCTCTGGATCCCGAGGGCAGGGGTGTTCTATCTAGAACAGGGTCTCGCTGGAGGCTGAGGTCCTGTGGCTCCACCTAGGGCAGGAGCCTCCAGGGCCCACCCCTCCTCCTGGCCTTCCAGTGCTCGCCTCCGTGTTCCTGACATCAGCCCTGAGCTTTCTGGGTCCTCAACAGGCCATCTATGGTGTGGGCCAATCCTCATTGATTAGAAACTAAAGAGAGATGCAGTGGCTAGCTTTCATAAATTGTGAGTTAGAGGTGGGAAAGAATTTGGTTAAGACCTCATGTGCTCAGAAACTTCCCTTTCCATGCTGGTGCTGACTCCACCCCAGCAGAGACCAGAGCCTCTTCCTGTCTTGTGAATTTTCCTTGCCTCAGGGAGTTTCCCTGAGCAGATAGAGAAGCAGCCTGAAGTCCTGGGCTCTGTGGCCTATGTCGAAATTCAGCTTCTGGGTGCTCAGCTCTGGGTGCCCCAGAACACCTCAGTGCGGGTCCCCTTTTATGAGTCTTTGCTGAGCACCAGCTGCCTCCATGATGGAGCCAGGATCTCCCCAAGGGTGACCAGCTGGGTTCTTTGATCCAGGAGTTACCAGCTGACAGGTGTCTGTGAGCCAGGCAGCTGCCCTGCTCCCAGGGCACAGGCCTGCACACGTTAGGAGGCTCCTGATCATCCTAGATCCTTAGATGACAACTGGGAGGGAGGCCTCGGGTCAATGGGGGCTGAGAAGGCCTGGGCAGGGCTTGGGGACACCAAGATATAAAAAGAGCCCCTGAGCAGGCAGCCCCACTGCTCTCCCACTATGGGCTTCCTCTGGCTTCTCTCCTGCATCACCGTCATCGGGGCTGCCTTTGGTGAGTGTGGTAGGGCCTGAGGGACCAACCATGGCTGGAAAGAGACTAGGGAGGAGGACCCTGAACCCCCAGTGGGCTCAACCTGGCCCCATCACAAAGGACTATCTCAGTTTGGGGAGGACCAGGCACCAGGTGAGGGGAGCTCTGAGTTCCCTCCCTGCACACTGGGCTTCAAGACCAGACAGGCGACCTGATTTGCAGGAGGAGAGAGAGGGGTGCTTCTAGGGCTTTCTGAGCCCTCAATGCTCTGCCAGGCCTCAGTAAGAAGCATCTGGGCTCCTCAGAGAACAGAGGCCCTAGAGGAGGCTCATGTGGGGTTGTGGGCACAAAGGCTGTGAGGGGTCTACTAGTGCCAGGCACTTAGTGTTTTGGTATCTGTTAAAATAATAATAATTATTATTGTTATAATATTATTATAATAATGCAATAATAATAATACAACCAAGTATCTTTGACAGAATTTTGCAAATATCACCTTCACTTTTCCCTATTTGCTGTAGGGATTCTCTGACACCCACACTGGGCTCAGCAGCTCCCTGCTCCCCCTCTCCTGGGAAGGGGCCTCTGCTGAGCCCCTGCCTGTCACTTCTGTGCAGCTTCACACCCTCACTCCCTGTTTATAACCAGAACCAGGGCTCAGTGGGGGAAGCTCCTCCCTGTATTTCCTGCCCGTCCCTGTCACACCTGCTGGCACCACTCCTGTGAGATTTCAGGCTCCTCCAGCACAGGGGACCCGGCCTCCCACCCCATTTCTATGAAGCATCTGCAGGGTGAGGCCCTCACAGCTCCTGCTGGTGGTTTTATTGTCATTACCAAAATAATGAGGAGACGACATGTTTGGAGATACCAGCTTGAGTGTTTGACTGGCCGTGACCCTGTCCTCAGAGGCAGAGGACAGGTGCTGACAGAAAAAGGCCTGGGAGGCACTGGGGCTGTCCTGGCTGTGGGAGGGGCTGGGCCTGCCCCCCTTCTTCCTGTGGCCAAGTTCTCACACCCTGGGGAGCTGCTGAGGATCCTGTGTCCTGACGCAGCAAATGTGTCCTGCACATGTCAAGGACAATACTAGTCCTCCATGTTCTGGACAATCTCATCCTCTGTTTTCTGTTTCCTTGATGTGTCCTCATGGTGGGCATCAAGATCATATCTTATCAATAATTAAGAAATATCAGGGGCCTCCCCAGTGACACAAGGGCTTAAGTTGCAGGACTATGAAGCTATCCACAGCCATTGCAGCACGAGTTTGATGCCCGGCCAGGGAGCTACCCACATGGCGCAGCAGACCTCTCCTGTCTCGCCTGCTGCCTCCTTCAGTAGTGTACTTCAGTCAGTCTGCCTGTTCTGTTCCCCACTCTGTCTCTGGTGAATCCTCTCACCTCCTGTTCCTCTGCTCTATACCCCAGTTCTTGCATGCATAAATAAATAAATATTTTAAAAATTAATGAAAAACAAAGAAACTTCAATGCTATGCAATGAAGAATTCTTGAAATGCCAGCAAGAGTCCAGCAGTGTGAATGGGGACAGTCACATCTGTCAGGAAAGGAGAGAGGGGTGATTTCCCATGGGTTTGGGGTTCTCTGTTTTTGAGCCCACACCTCCTGTCCACACCAATCCCTTTGGCAAGCATTGCCTGTGAGGGCAGCAGTGTTTGCTCCCATTTCTGGGGTGAAATGAGCCTGGGAGAGTCAGCGGGGGCTGAGGTCTCCAGAAGGTAGCGGGTGGCAGGGAGGCCTGATTCCTCAGCCTGTTTCTGCTCCTCTGGGCAGGGTGACCCGGATGGAGCTGCCTGTCCCTCTGCATCCCTGGAGGGGTGACTGGGGACAGCAATCTGTGTTTGTGGAGCCTCCATCTTGGGATATGGGGTGCCTGGGAATGTTTCCTGGAGTAGGGGAGTGTGAGGTGGGTGTGGTGATAGCTGAGCTGGAAAGCAGATCTCAGACCGAGTGGGTCCTCAGCCCTTCTTCTTCCCCCTCTCCCCTCCAGGCTGTGGGGTCCCTGCCATTCCCCCAGTTTTCACTGGCATAGAGAGGATCGTCAATGGGAAAATCACTTTCCCTGGCTCCTGGCCCTGGCAGGTGTCTCTGCAGGTGAGGGGAGTCTGCACCTGAGTGGGGTCACCTTGCAAGGGGTCCAGGGGAGGTGGACTTCTGTCTGGGGGTGTGGTGTGTCTTGCCAGCACTACCTCTCCTTCTTCCTACAGTACAGCACCGGCTTCCACTACTGTGGGGGGTCCCTGATCAGCGAGTCCTGGGTGGTCACTGCCGCCCACTGTGAAGTCAGGTGAGGCCCAGGGAGGTTCAAAAGTGGGCGTGGGGGAGCAGGCGTGTCCTCCTTCCTTATCCCACCTGCCTCCTCTAGCACATCCCATCTGGTTGTGGCTGGAATGTTTGACAAGAGATCAAGGGAGAATGTGCAGGTCCTGAGGATTGCTCAGGTACGCCGGGCTGGGGGTTGGGGCAGGACGTGGAAGAGACACGAGGCAGCAGATGGGCCTCAGAGTCTCCCTTGGGCGCCCCTGGTGTGTCCTGTGATTCCCACCAGGAAGGCGTTTGTCTCATCAAACCTGCAGATCCCTGGTGGATCCCAGACCTCACCTCCACCTCCTGACCTCACCCACAGGTGTTTGACCACCCCAGTTTTAACAAACACAACTCCAGCAACGACATCACCCTGGTGAAGCTGGCCACGCCCGCGCGCTTCTCCAGCATCGTGTCCCCCGTGTGCCTGCCCAGTGCTCAGGACAGCTTCACCGCCGGGTCCCTGTGCGTCACCACGGGCTGGGGCAGGACACATTACCAAGGTGAGTGACCTTGGCCTTGTCACCAGGAGGGGGGTCTGGTCTACCTGTGCAGCAGGCGGGGCCCATGTAACTCTGCTCTTTGAGTTTATGACAACGGACAGTGTCATAAATGTTTCCGCTGTGTTATTTACAACCCACTTAGAGAAAACCCACCCAAATGAATGGACACGAGGTCCATGATGGCCTTGCAGGGTCAGGTTCTGAGACACAGCTCAGTCCCAGCAGGCCCCGCCCCACTCACCACCTGCACCTGTCCACAGTGACCCCAGCAGCGCTGAAGTCCCCCAGGCCTCAGGGACTGGAGTTGGGGCCTCCTTCCAGACCTGGGCGGGGTTCAGGTATCCAGAGGTATCCAGGGTGTGGTCAGGGACCCGAGAGTCCAGCCTGGCGCCCCTTCCTGGGGCTGCCCCTGTGTGATGGTCTCCTCCAGCGTCCTGCGTCCTGCCCAGGCCAGGGCTACCCGGCTGGTCCTTCCCCAGAGCAGGCTGGGCAGGCAGGGCTGGTTTCACCAACTGTGCTTGCGGCAAATTTAGCACCGACTGCAGTGAAATCAAAAGGCGGGTACCCCTGAGATTTCTAAGGTTTAAGGGATTACAGGCCTTGGATTCCAGCACCCTGACAAGAGTGATGTTAGGGGGGGACCGGGCAGGGCAGCATTCTTGGGGCATGTCTTCGCCCCCAAGGGTGGTTTAGTAGGCTGAGGGCCCTGAGTCCTCCTGGGATATTCGTTTTCCAGGCACGGGCTCCAACGTGCTGCAGCAGGCCACCCTGCCCCTCCTGTCCAATGCCGAGTGTGAGAACATCTGGGAGAAAGGGTTCCCTGACATCATGGTCTGTGCCGGGGCCAAAGGTGTCACCTCCTGCAAGGTATGGCTGCTTATCCATGTGATTCCCCCCTCCCCAATCAGGCTGGAGGCCCTTCTTGCCCATGAGCCCTTTAAGCTCAGTCCTTTCTGATCCCCGGGGGAGCCAGGACCAGCACTCACACACAGCCAGCAGATGACTGGCCCTGGCCATGATGGGGGTGCTGTCCAGGGGATTTACTCTCATACCCTCTCCCTGAGCTGGATTTTCCAGCCCATTTATAGACCACAGCCCCAGGCCCCTGGGATAAGTGCAAAACCGGGTGCTACTTGAGGAGATGGAAGTTTCTAGGTATCGCTGTACATGCATTGTATTTATTGGCAATACCTGTCTGAGCCCAGGTAGGGGAACACAAGGATCCAGGACCCCTTTCAGACTTGCAGACAGGTGTTTCTCCTCCCTCAGGGCGACTCTGGTGGCCCCCTGGTCTGCCAGAAGGATGGAGCCTGGAACCTGGTGGGCGTCGTGTCCTTTGTCAGCGCCAACTGCTACACCAATTATCCTACTGTGTGTGCGCGGGTCACTGAGTTCAGGCCCTGGATTGACGAGATTCTGACTCAAAACTAAGCCCTGATTCCTCCATCCCTGAGTTTTGCCAATAAAAGAAGTCCTGACTGTTTATGTGTCTGTGACCTGGGGGCGGTGGCTGCAGTGTCCCTGTCACCCACCAGGGGGTGGTGTGACCCTCCCTTTCCAGGCTGCGGAGCCCCAGCAGCCCCTGTTTCTCAGGGAGCTGAGGCCTTTGGGTCTGGGCCTCCCTGCTCAGGAGGCCCCAGGAGTAGAGTCCAGGACCACCTGCTGCAGCCTGGTTGCTCAGCCTGGTTTCTGCTCCTTTGACAGCTGGGTTGGCCCAAGGAGCTTTGTGGAGGGCAGGAGTGCTCCAGGCCAGGCCATGCAGTCCTCTGCGACCAAGAGGGTCACCCAGGCAGGCTTGTCCCTCCCCACATGCTCCAGGCACCTCTCTCTACCTTGAGCCTCCTGCACCCCCCACCCCAGACCATCCATGCAGTCTCCACCCTTCCCGCCTCCCACCCACGTCTGCACACTCACTCTGAACTGAGTAGCTGGGAATATCTCTTTCTAGCCCCACATACCAAGTGCCCATCAGGTCTGCTCTGGGCTGTTTTCTCTGGGATTTGGCTGGTGAATCTGGAGGCTCCATCAGACTCTGGCTCAGTCCCTTTAGGCTGCAGCTGGCACTGGGCCCCTACACGGGAGGTGTCAGGACTGAGAGCCTCCCTTGGCAAAAGGAACAACGTTGATGCCTGATGCTTGGGTCATCTGTTCCCTGTTTGTACAATGTTGGGAATTTGAATGTTTTTCTGTGTATTGCCTGGAATCCTTTCATGGAGATGACTACACAGTCAATAACCCAGTGGTTCCTGGGTATAGAATATGCCACAGAAGGGTTCATCCTGTTTCCTTTATACAAAATTGCTTAGGCCTCCCTGGTGATGCAAGGGTTTAAATCGCAGCCCTTGAAGCTATCCACTGCCACTGCAGCACGACAGGAGTATGATCCCCAACCAGAAAGGGAGGTACCCACATGATGCAGCAGACTTCTCCTGGCTCACCCACTGCTCCCCTCAACAGTGTATTTCAGTCAATCTGCCTGTTCTGCTCCCCACTCTGTCTCTGGTGAATCCTCTCATCCCCTGCACCTCTGGACTGTACCCCAGTTCTTGTATGCATAAATAAATAAATCTTCTTAAAAATTCCTGTTTGAATTTGAGCTCAGTCCTTGTTTCCTGCCATCCTTCAAAGTACTGAATTAATTTTGTAAAAAATGCTAAATTAATCTCCTAGATCAAAACAAAGGTTTCCAACTCTTTTAGTCATTATCCTCTTGAAGCTGTATCCTGTCACAAGTACAAGCTGCAGGATTGGTACCCAGACTTTTGACATGGTCACATGGCTTCGATGCCCAAACCCGGAACCAGTCATTTCTCAAAAATCCCCCGTGTTCTTTGAGTAGAAAAGGAATTAAAGCCCACTGGGTGTCGGGGACACTCATAAATAGCATATGGTTATTTCTAGACTTTTCCAGTGGACACAGTGTAGCACTTAAGGACAAATTTTATTTAAAGATAAAATTTATTTAAAGATAAATTTAAGATCACAAATCTCAAGAGTTTGCAGTGATATTTCTACTTCTAATTCAAGGCTGTGGGTAATAACTGTAAATAGGGAACTTTGCCAGGTTTTCCATCCTACACCAAGCATCCTCATCTTTAGACTGAGGGAATGATTATCCTGGAATATCCGATAATAATTTATTTGCTTTCTCCTTTATTATACAAAACAGTTGCAGGCTAATACCAACATTATCAACACCCATATAATTAATGAAAGCAGGCAAAATTATTTTCCTCTCCAGGTTTTTAAATTTTCTTCTCCTCTGCACAGCCCTGACATGTCTGTCTCCCCTGCTCCCTCCTGCGTCTCGCTGGCTCAGGCCCTTGGGTGTCTGAGGTTAGACCCGTCCTCGTGTTCGTGTCTCTGTGGCCCTTGGGAGCCTAAAGCTCTACCTCTGTGTGTGTCTCAGGAAAGGCCACGGGGTCCTGTCCTGTTGACCTTCGTAGTACTGCCTTGAAGGAAAATATTGAAGGGGCTATTCTCAAATGCTTGTCAGCTAGAATCTTGCCGTGTTTGCTATTCAGTTTTAGATTCTTAACCCTTATCAGAGATCTGATTTGCCAATATTTCTTTTGTTGTCTGTCTTAGCACTCCCTCCATAGTATCTGTTGACGCCCAGAAGGTTTTAATGTTGATGTGTCCATGTTATATTTTAGTTGTTTGCTCATTTGCTGTCATATCCGATTCTGACAGGAATCGCTTCCGAAGTGGAGATCACGCTGGCTGGTACTGAGCTCAGCCATATTAGGTCTTCCTGTCCACGGAAATGGAAGTCTTTCCATCCCTTTATTACTTATACTTTCGTTTTTTACATGAAATCATTCGCATTGGGTAACAAGGCTAACAACACTGTATATCTTTTAGGGCTACAGCTTCATGCCGCCTCTCTGGAATCTAACCACCCCTCCCTACTGCCAAGCCGTCCATTATTCGAGTTCCTTATTCCCGAGCTACCATCCTCTCTAAAATGCGAATGTGATCCCCTCCTCTCAAACATCTACTGTAGGTATTATTTTCCAACCTGGTCAAGTGAAACTTCAGAAAGCAGAACCTCAGGCGGGGGACCCCTGGGTCTCCCAAGGGGGCTGTGGGAACAGCAAGCAGGTGGGCAGGGCCACATGAGCATCTGGGCCTGGAGACTCTGCGCTGATGGGAACAGAACAGGACAATGGACGCAGGAGCAGCGGAACTCTGGAGCAGGGCCTGGGTGGCTCCTAGAAGCAAGGAGAGCAACACTGGTCTCCCTGACAGGGAGGAAGGCGGAGCCTGAGCTAGAACCATAGGAGGGGTGAGGAGCTCAGGTGTTCTCATATGAGCTGCTCCTGTGTGAGGCAGGAGCACCCTCGGGACTGAATCAGGCGCCCTGAAGACGCCCCCGTCCTCCAGGACAGGAGGGATGCTGAGCAGGAGCAGGAGGCTCCATGCCAGGAAATCAAGGCCACAACCAGCAGCCTTGTCGCCTCAATAAAAAACCTGGCATTCTTGGCACCCCAAATTAGAGTCAGGCCCTGCTGACCTCCAGGTGAGTTCACATGCCTGCCTTCTTGCTACCACGGGCCCCTCGTGTTCTCCCTCAGTTAGAAACTCATTCCCGTCCACTGGAGGCACCTGCTGACAGGACCCTCTGCAAGTTGATCATTGGCTTCCGGGGCAGGAGCTGGTCCCTCAGCACCCACAAAGCAGAGCACTTACCCCGGGCAGGGGTTCTTAAGCTGGGATCCTCAACCCCTGAAGAAACAGCCACTTCTTAGCAAGGTAAATTATCCTCCTCACCCCACACCTGACTCATGACGCTAGGAAAGTGAGGCCCAGCGCCGTTTGAAAGCAGCTTCTGGGCAGTTTCGATACAGCTCAGGTTAAGAGCCCATGAGCTAGAGTGAGAACACAGTGGCCTCTCAAGAGGGGAGGCCCAGCCCCCCTGAGCTGAGGGGGCCAAAGAGAGATGTGTCTTTTCATCTGTGACCACGAGGGGCAGTGTGGACCCAAAAAGCTTCTCTGGAGTCAGGGGCCCCCTAAGGGAGCCTCTGAGTCCTCTGGAAACTGCTGGCAGGCAGGACAAGGAGCATAGCCTTGGAACATGCTGGAAGACGGCGGTGGCAGTGGTTAAGCCCAGGGTTCAGGACAGCAGGTTACATCCTTCCTCCATCCCAAAACCTTCCTGCTCCCCAGCTGCTCAAGATCTGGTTTGTCTTTTGAGGAAATGTCTGCTCCCTTCATCCCTAGGTCCATCCATCCTCACGGTATTTCTTTGCTCTGTTTATCACTTATTAATCCAGAACCATAGGACCAGATCCTTCCCTTGCCCTTGAAAACGTGTCTGTTTATCGATGTCCTTGCTGAGTGAGCAGCTCCCCCCACATTTGGATGGCGGTATTTTCATGTTCTTTGCTTCAACATCTTCATAATTTCTCCTGTGATCTCCTCTTTACCCACAGCTTATTTTGAGCATATTATTTAATTTACAAATGAATCATGTTTTTCTACATTCTCGTCCTGCCAGTAACCAAGGGATATTCACCTGGACTCTCCTTGAGCCTCCAGGAAAACACCCCTAAGACCAATATAGTTGGAAAGGACCTTGAGCTTCTTGTGAGGATTGTAAGTCACCACCAGCAACAACATGCAGGAAACTAGAAACACACAAGCTTATTCCTCACTGGGCCTGAGGAGACAGGGAGAAACCTGTGGCACACCGTGGGGTGGGGCGGTGGAGAGATGGGACCCCTATGGGTCTGTTTTATTGGAGGTGTGTGGGGGTCATAACGTTGTGGGATTCACTCTTTCTGGGTGAATTTCAAACATAAGGTTTGGAATACAGTGACATTACACAGTGGAAAAACAAGTGGACAGTAGGTCCATTTCCTCAATCCCTGATCTGGAAATTACAGTGAAGTGGTGATAGGGGCAGGTCCCATGTAGTCCCGCGACAGGAGTGTGACTATTCCCCACAGCTGTCTGTGCAGAGCACGCCTGGACAATCAGCTGAAACCAGGCCCTCGGCTGACAGTTAAAATGCCCAATGTCAGGGGCGTCCCCTGCCGTCCCCTGAGACACAGGGCCCCGTCATGGTGGGGCTTCCACAGCCTGGGGAGCAGATCGGGTCCATCAGGGGCAGGTCCTGACCAGCAGCGCCCATCTAGCAGGGTGAGAGCAGCCCATCCCGTAATGATACACAGCAGCAGCCTCATCCAGCCCATAGACTTTGCCCCAGCTGAAGGCTCCAGGCCTGGAGGTAGATGAGCGATGGAGAGACCAGGGCGTATATTCTAACATGCGGGTCCCGTGGTGGCTGCTTTTCCCTCTGGGGTGCAGGAAGGTCGGTGTTGTGTGGACCTGTCTGTCCTGGGTGTCATCTCTGGGGAGGAGGCCGGGGCACGTAGAGCAGTGAACTCCTGGGGGGACCCTGTCATCTGAGATGGTCTCCACTCCAGTGAGGAGTGGGGTTCAAAGGTGGGTGAGTCCCCTTGATAATG